ACCGAGGTGTAGTCGTCGGGTTGTGACCGCCAAGGTGTGACAATCGGGGTGTAACCGCTGAGGTGTGACTGTCGGGGAGTGACCGCCGAGGCATGGCCACTAAGGTGTAACCATTGAGGTGTGACCGCCGAGGTGCGGCCACCGGGGTGTAACTGTCAGGGTGTGATCATCGAGGTGTGACTATCGGGGTGTAATTGCCATGGTGTGACCGTCGGGGAGTGACCACCGAGGTGCGACCTTTGGGGCGTGACCACCAAGGTGCAACTGTCGATGTGTGACCATCGAGGTGCAACCTTCGGGGTGTAATTGCCAAGGTGTGACCATCAGGGTGTGACTGCCAAGGCGTGGCCATTGAGGGGCCGAGGTGAGACCGTCGAGGTGTAACCATCGGGGTGTAAACGCCGAGGTGTGACCATCGGGGAGTGACTGCCGAGGTGCGACCGTCAAGGTGTGACCGTCAAGGTGTAAATGTTGGGGTGTGACTGCCGAGGTGTGACCATCGGGGTGTAACCGCAGAGGTGTGACCGTCAGGGAGTGAATGCCAAGGCATGGCCACCAAGGTGTAACCACCGAGGTGTGACCATCAAAAAATTTCACATAACAATTAAAATATAGTTCTTCCACTAGGACCATGATAACTGATGGTGCGCAATCTGGTCACTCCTAGCTGGTAGGGGCTACGCTCCTGGCTGGCGCCAAACAAGATACCTGCGAGGAAGAAGGTGAAAGATTCCCGCGGAGCTCTCCCAGCGGGAACACTCCGATGCTTAAGTTACAACTTGTAGAACTGAGGAAGAGAATTGTAGAGAAGTAAGCTAAGAGTGGAGATGCACAGTTTTCAAATTACCTTTTCTCTTTGGGGGTCGGAGCTCTGTCAAATTTGACATAACCGCCTCTGATTCTCTGCCGCAACCGTTACTTGCTAGGGCTGCGCAGGTTACTGTTGCAGAGTACGGCCCTGCCAAGCGGGGGACACCTCTCAAGGCTGGCAAGCACGACGCTGCCTGGCGAGAGACGTGGGTGTAGGGCTCCAGGTTTGGCAGGTATGACTATTAGAGGAGATCTTCCTGTGATACACCGAGCTGTCTTCCTGCAAGCTGCCTTGTACCGAGCTACCCTGTGCCGAGTTGCAAGTGTCATACTGAGGTGATTCTACCCGAGGTGGTCTACTTAGGTCTGAGTTAGAATAAGTTTATTAGGAGGCTCCCGAGCTCACCCCGAAGTGCCTTGAGCTCAGGAGATTCCTGTCTTGGAGCACCTTGGCTCGGGATGCTTTTGTGGAAGAATCTTAGCTCGGGGCGTTCCCTTCTTGAGGAGGAGCTCGGGGGCTCTTTTACTTGGGAGGAGTTCGGGATAATCGGAGTGTCATCTAGTACCAAGCTGCCACGCTGGACCTTGGCGGACTGGTCGTGTTGAGCTATCACTTATGCTGAGTCACGCCCATGTATCCCCCTACGACGAGGTCAGGGCAAATCACCCTCCATCAATTGCCCCCCACTCCTTGAGCCAGAGGTCCTGATCTAGTGCGGGGAGTTCACGACATGACGGGTGGATTTGGCCCGAAGTCTAGGCTGCCTCAACAGAATTCGCCAATCGGACTAGTTCGGCGTTTGGCTTAAAAAAAAAAAACTGGATCGCATACAGTTCATGCGCGGACGTGACACGGTTTATAGACTCTGCGGATGTCAAAAAATGCGCTAAACCGATTTGGCCTCGAGGGTCGCACGGCCGGTTTTCTTGAGGACCGTTAGATTGTCTTGATCTCAACCGTTGAATCTCGGGTATACCGACTATAAATAGGGGGGATCCCCGTCATTTTCTCCGCCATAAGTTCATTAGCACTCGCCTTGTGGTCGCGTCTAAGGTCTTCAACTCAGGTTCTCCAGTTCGTCTCCCTTCCCAGCTCAGTTGCTCTTTCTTTGGTGAGTCTCCCTAGCTCCTTCTTTCAGTTTGTTTCCAGTCTTCAGTTTCGGTTTGGTAGCTAGTTGCCCTTAGTTTCATTTAGTTTGTTTTCTAGTTCGTAGCTATGTCAGATCATAGCTTCGACAGTCTCTTAGACGAGCCCGAGGTAGATGCCCCAGCTCAAGCAGACAGTCTCCTAGATGAGCCCGAGGTGGGTACCCCGGGTTAAGTTGGTGCCTCTGAGGCACATTCCACCTACGAGGTGCAGAAGACCTTGGGTAACCTGACATCCACCTTTAACCGAGGTCGGATACCAGATAAGTTTGGTCCTTCTACCATGACGGTAGATAGGCTTAGGAGCCTGATAGCCCAGTACAACCTTACTAGGGAGTACACTTACCTTCTTCCTGCATGCGACTTCCCTTGGGAACACGGTCGTGACGAGATCGTGATTTTTGGGGAACAACTTGCAGCTGGGCTCCGCCTTCCACTGCACCCTCTCATTGTTGAAGTGTTGAATCACTTCGATGTAACCATAGATCAATTCCACCCAAACTCTGTTTGGAACGTGGTCGGTACAATTTCCCTCTTTTTCGACTACGCCCTTCCCCTTGATCTTGACAATTTTTCTTCTATCTTGTCGATAAAGAAGAATGCATCTAGCGTTCTCCCCGAGCACAGGCGGACCTACTACTTGTCCCCCCGCCTGGGCTTCAAGTTGTTACATAAGCTTCCCAGTAAAGTCCCAGCCTAGAAACGGGACTATTTTGTAGTTCGTAACTCTGCGGGATGGCCCTTCCCTACTCACTGGAGGATGGCCATCCAGGACTCCGGCTTTAGGTTGGACCGGGGTACGAGTGAGATACTTCAGTCTTGGGCGGAGCTCGGCTTTGACTACAAGGATTACCTCACCGAGAACAAGCTCGTTGAGGTCGGTCCTTGTTTAGAATTAGTATTTTTCTTTGGCATCCAATTTCTTCTTGATAGCATT